GCTGCTTTCGCTACCGCCGCAACGGTTACAGCCGCGGATGTTCCTGCTTTATCCATCTTCTACTTCTTTGGTGCCATGATAAGCTCAAGCAACAACCACAGTGGGCGCCAATGTTGTTCGAGGCCAAGGCCTTCGAACACCGGTTGCTGCTCAAGCGAAATCAAGTACGAGAAGTGGGTAACACGAAACTTGGCGAAACAAGGTGAACGATTTTATTGAACTTGTTCTCCCCCCTTACATTCCCCGCAAGGGGGCTATTTATACAGGCCCGTAGGCTTTCTATGGGACCAAAATGCCCCTACAACTACCACCTGTCTAGAGGATATTCCCTGTCACCATGGGGCTTGTTCGCCATCTGAAGCCCTTGCCTGCCTCAGGTAGCACCAGCCCGGGGAGACCCAACCAGCCTCGCCTTGTGTAGCTTGCCCGACCTACTAGATGGCCCACGAGCAGTCAGACGTTGTCGGCCATGTGAGGACGGCTGGCTTATCGCACGGTGGAACCTGCAGAAACAAGCAACCAAACTATCAATAGCTATTCGCCAAAGCGAATAGCCGGGGTTACCAGCGAGCCTATCGCTAGGCCGAAAGGGAAAGAGCTAGGCCCGGCCTGATCCCGGCCGTCGAGTCCACCTTTTTGCCATAGCGAAAAGGGGTTTCTGAGGACAGGACGGCGAGTGCCGTCATACAAGCAACCAAACTTTCAATGGCCATTCACCTGGGCGAATAGCTGGGGTCATCAGCGAGTCCCACCGCTAGGGCGAAAGGGAAAGAGCTAGGCCCAGCCTGGTCCTGGCTGCAGGATCTACCTTTTCGCCGTAGCGAAAAGGGATGTCTGAGGACAGGACAGCAAGCGCCGCCCTTACTTCGCCGAGGTGAGAAGGGGGGCTCGACGCATCCTTCTCATCACAGATGGCTGCTGAGTGCGCTGGAGCCAAACCGGGACAGCAATAGAGCCACATAGGATGCCCATAGGCAACAAGTTCAATAAAATTGTTCACCTTGTTTTGACAAGTTTCGTGTTACCCACTTCTCGTGCTTGATTTTGCTTGAGCGGCAACTGGTGTTCGAAGGCCTTGGCCTCGAACAACAACTCCTAATCCATGCTCCTAAAATTTAGGCACTTGAGAAATCCTCCTTCGTCGTGCGTAACTTTGCGCGTAATCGCGGTCGCGCGGATACTGCTTTCCCGTGCGTATCGGTCGGTCAATCTAAAGGTGAAAGGGTGTGGGAAAGAATAAGGAGTAGGAAAGGGTTCCTGATGCAAATATACAAGAGAGGAAGAATATATAAAAGTGGTTACAGTAATTTAGAAATAGTATAGCATTCCGGATGTAAAATTGTCTTCTATATTTTAGTAATGGATTATTGGAAACTCTCAGAGATGGCCTTCTTTTTTCCTCCCAATATCCTTGTAGGAGTTGCAAAACTATAAGTTTTTGGGAGAAAAAAATAGGATACTCTTGGAGATGCTCTAATAATTTTGGAAGGATATTAGACTGCTACACGAGGTAATTTTGGAAGGATATTAGATTGCTACATGAGGTAAGTGCTACATGGGAGAACTGCATCCCGATCGTGATTCCCATGCCATAGTGGTTGTGATCATGCACCCGTCCATCAGGCTGGACGGGATTTGGACGGTGCTAGGCCACGTGGGGTGACATAGTCGAGTCCTCATGTTGTCTTGTCTGGTAGTGGATGCTGCCCAAGATGACGCTCTGCCCTAAGACCGGACTGTCAGAGGGGCAGTCGTCCTTCTTGTACCCGGTTGAGTGCACGCGATGCGCGTCCTGTCCGGGCAGGCGCATTTGGTGCGTCCACCCACGTCTCATCCTTTCCTTAGTGGCTAAGGAAGGAGGTGGTCGAGGGCACTGCGCGGTGCGTAGTCAAGAGATGGAAGGTCAAGGCGGGCCTCGTACGGCTCGAAGTTGGGAGGTCGAGGCAGGCCGCGGTTAGCTGGATGTGGCCAACTGGGCCATCCTTAGTAACTATGCTTTGGGGTACCCTGGTTATGTAACTCTGACACCATTTCCCTCTGCTAGACCCAATTCTGGCAGTGATGCGTGATTTAGACCCGACAGTGATTGCATGTTCTGCACTAGTGTACGAAGTTTGCATTACTATCCTGTGAAGTTTGTTGTTGATCTTCCTAATCGTTTGGGTGATAATATAGCCTGGATCTCTATGAACTCCTCAACATAGATGTAGCTTCCTTCATGGAGGTAAACCTCACAAACCTTCTTTCTCTTTGTTTGGTTTGTAATCTAATATATATGGTTTCCATGACTTTGAGGATTTCTAGTCGATCTACCCACTTCTGAGTTTGTTGGACCAAGCTTTTGTTGGGACATCCCATCTACCTATTTTTCCGTACTCGACTTCAAGTATAATTCACTAGAGTAACTCGCTTTGTTACAACATCAGTTTTAAAAGAACATCTCTTTAGGACATACCAACTCAATAGAAATTGGGATTATCAGATAGTTCTAATTCCGTCACAAAAGTTTGGTTTTTCAATTAATGCACATTCATCTAATGCATCACACTATATTTTAGGAGCAACTATAAGAGCGAGGTCATTAATAATGCCAAGTGCTTGGCTATAAATCATGTTATAAAAGCTAAGCTATACAATAGTTCGTCTTCTATTTGTCTACAAACTTTTTTATTATTATATGCTTTCATTCTCTTTCCTATTCATCCTCACATACATTTCTATTGGGACCCACTACTGCCTATACTTCTATTGGGGGAAGGCGACTCTAGCTTGACCCCCCACCAGTCTCCTGACCCTCATTCCGGACCTGGTGACCAGCCTCGCAGCAGGCCATGACCCCCGCAGCGAGGGTTTTCCTCCCAGTCCCTCCCTTTCAGGTACCTTAAGCGAGGCTCGACTCGAGGTTCAACGATAGCAGGGGAGGATGCAACGACACCGATAATGAGGAGAACCCCAGGCCGGAGTGGCGAGGGTTCATCAGGGATCGCAGGAACGCCTCCACAAGGACTCGGCGACACCCCGTGCGTCCAGTTAGGGTTAGAAGTGGTTGGCTAAGGGTACGGAGGATTACCTCACTGCCCTTGGCTGTTGTATTGCCATTGACAGTCTTACATCAACCCTTATGTAATTTCATCGCAGCCCCGGGTATGAGCTATAAATACCCGGGGGCGCTCGTGTACAGGGGGGGGTTGGCAATTTAATAAGCAAATCAATCCGCATTTATTTCTCGCTCTCCCTATGGGGTACCCTCGCTTTGTACACTCGCATTCATTCTGCTCCCTGTGGGAAACCCTCGGCCTCCCCCGCGTGATCTCTAGCGAGGGTGGGAGGCTAAGAGTGACCCCACAGCTTCCGTGCCCAATTTGTTGCTTGCATGAGAGCCAAGCTCTCTTCTCTCTTCTCCCTTCCCTCATTCACATCAGCAAAAATGTTGACTAGCTTGCCCATAAGACAATTGTTGTACTTGCTCTAAGGCGATGATGAGTATAATTAGCTTTTCAATAGGTTGAAGGAATAGCTTCAATGTGCTAATAGATAATGCAGTAAGGGAGTCCAAAGTCCAACCCATGCAAAACAAGAGCTTATTCCAAAATCAAAGAAGATATCTGGTCCAGATCTACAATAGAAACATCAAGTTCTATTCATATGGTAAAGAGTACAAAAGTGAGAAACTAGAGAGCATTGTTTCAGTTGTTTATAGGCTCTAAGGGTATGATTGGATGCAACCGTGGCCAAAATTGCCTAGACTAGACCACTGCCTGTATGTTGCTTGCACTTCATTTGGTTCTGGTTCATACCCTGAGTTTCTTTGCCAGATGCGAATTCCTACGCTGGTTGCCGGGCACCAAGTGCATGAAATCGATCACCTGGATGTCCGCCCAGTTCCTGGCTTATAAGCATCATAAATCACTATTCCTATCTCCTCAAACGGATGAACCAAATGCAGCTGCCTAACTATTCCTGGCTAGTCACCTCAGGCACAGGCAGGTGAAATGCCCAGGCAGCTAGCTCAGGGTTGCATCCAAACAACCCCTAAATGCTTACAATATCTTACCCAGGTACAACTAATATGACTATTAGATGGTAACTCATATTTGACAACTAGGTAACAACTCATGTGTAGCTTATGGACATCTAGATTAAAGATTTTTCTTGAGTAAACTAGTATACTAATGTAGTAAAAGCTATTTTTGTCTCTATTGCTTCAAGTCAATATATATAGATGAGTTACATTTTCCATAGTGGTGATATTCAAATTTACTTCTTGTCCTTAGTAGGAAAATCATATGTCTCTTCTATTCTTGATGTCAAAATTAAATCTAGTTGAGCTTTGATATTTGAATATTCTTGCATCATCCATGTGACGTCGCTCATCATCGTCCCTCTAGAACTTCTCCCAAAATGTAAGAACTGAGAATTTACACAATGCCGTTTAATGATGGGCATGACAGATTTTTCTCTGGCTGCATAATTAGTACTGTTATTCCTAGAAATGCTCATACTTTTTTCTTGAGCTTTAGAAAAGCTTATACTTAAGGATAAATGGAACTACGAATCATATGGTCATTAATATGGCTTACTTTAGATGAGTTGTTTTTCTTTCTTCATTACCTCTGCAATTAATATAAAAAATCATTTGTGATACTCATTTAAGCACTAGCCTTTAGCAAACCGACATTTTTTTAACAAAAGTGGACACCATCTGACACTGCCCTTGTGGCGTGGCCTGGCTAACACGTCAGATGAGAGAGAAACACGTTGGCTAGATATAGAGGACGGCAACTGGCAGCAGTGCACACATCACGTAGAGCACGCAGCGGGCTCGCACTGGTAACGTCCCTCGACCCTTCTCTCTGTCCCTTCCTTTCCGATCTCCGATCTCCGGTAATCCATCCATCGTTTATTACTTGAACCTTCAATCTGCCACCGCTTGAAGGCTCGATCAGTTAGCAGTTGGATCGGAGAAGGATATGGGTCGGCAATCAAGCAGCACCTGCAGGATGGAGGGACGACCCTTCCGATTCCTGCCGGAAGAAGTGAAAGAGATGGAGGAGCGCCTGTTCCCCGTCACCAAACGCAGGCTGGATCACATCCTCATGGATGAGCTCGCTGTGAAATTTAGCTACTTCCGGGGCCTTGCTGGCATGACTCCCGTCAAGTCAAAGCAGGTACATGACTAGCTCTGTGCATCGATGTTCCAGATATTTCAAATTCCTCCTCCCATGAACCTTTTTCTTCATTCGGGATCCGGGGCTCGATCGATCTGGGCTGGGGGGAACTCGATCATCATGCAGGTGCTCAACTGGTTTCATAACAATTGTAACAAGCATTGCCCCAAGATAGCCAGGGAAGCACATGCTCCGGTGGTGAGCACAAGGGAGTTTTATTGGGCCAATCATCAGCAAGCTCGAGGCTCCTCCCTCAGCAAGTTGAAGCCAACAGTCACTACGCACGCAGGATCTTCGTCTTCCTCAGGTGATAGATGTTACCTGTGACTATGATCACCGATGCTTCTTTGCGTGGATCTGCTAGTCGCTGGTTTTTAGGAAGGCAATAATAACGGAACATCACAGTGAGCGAGTGATCAAATCTGTGAACTGAGTTATGATTTATGAGCATATAAGTATTAATTATGCTCCTTATCTTGGTCTGTATGTAACTCAGAGCCATGGAATTGATAGTGAGCTCCTAAATGCTGTATTATTCATCTGACGTAGAAGGTTTGTTTCCATTTCATGCTAAAAAGCTAATAATAAACTGTAACTCTGCGTGCAGCCTTTTAGTTCCATCATACTTCGTCGTCGTTGTTCCCTTACATGCCAAACGAATGTGTAGCATCCTTTTAGGATCTATGAACTTGTTTGCTGCCCATGTTTACATGCCACCTCATAACTTCCAGACACTTCTTTTCTATTATTAGGATATGCTACGTTCTGTTTTTATTCTTGCTACACATCGATATGCATCACAAAAACATGACAATTATCTCGATCCAAGGCAGTATTATTCTTTAGGATATTGCTATATGTTATGATTTTATTCTTGCAACTGATATGCATCACAAATCCATGACAATTGTCTATCATATATCTTCCTTCTGCTCATTGTTGTTAGAATTATTTGAAAATCAGGGAATAATTATATCGATGATCACACCAAGTATGAAGCTAAGTCAGCTAGAGATGGCGCTTGGTATGGAGACTCTTGCACCTGGCCTTCTTATATTTTGCTTTTTGATTGATTGCCAAATATTACAAGGTTTTCAGTTTTTAAAAAAGTGACGGGGGACGTGGTTGTATATATACACGTCTTCCTTATTGCGCACCTAATTTCTGGACGGACTACTCATACATAAACTTTTTAAGCCCTTATATCTTACCATGTATATTCTCTTATGCACTTATTAATAAAAGTAACAAAGTATCAATCGATATAGTGTTTTTTATAATGTATTTATGTGCCAAGCAATACAAATTATCCCTATTAGCTTATCATTGTATCCGTGGGTCCCTGTTTTCATATATGAGTCAAATAAAATAATCTAGCTGACATGGCTGATATTCCAAATGATAGTGTGTCTAGGTCTAACAGATTTTTCCAACGGTTTGGAGGAAATTATATCATAAGCAAAAGATGTTAAATGCATATAAGAGAAGGGATTGGATAACCCTATGAAGTGCTGCCTGAAACTTGATCATTTGTATAAAGTGCTTTTACCGTTCGTCATTGAAACCAGCCGTTTGTATATATATAAAGTTTTCTATGCAGCATGTTTTATTCTTCATATGTGCATCGTTATATATTGCAGGTTCGATGTCCAAGACTTCGTGGCTCAAAGGTTTTGCAAATCAGGTGATTTGGTAAGGAAATCAAATTTTTTGATGATATTGATAAAAAGTAAAGGCAGCCGTTAGTAATTTGTCCAATAATAAGCATATGTTGGTCATAGCAACGTACATATGATTCTATTCTCATTTATATGTACAGGGAGAGGAAACCCTGGGGCTAAACGCAGTAAGTTAGTCTATGATATAGGTTGCTTTGGCACTCGTGTTACACTCAGGGCCCATATGTACTTAATATATTAAATTTTTTTGAGGCAGGAGATGTTAAGGTATAATGACATTATGAGACATTCCAACAAATCTCAGGCAGCTAGGCTGAGGAAATAAAGAAGATTTGAAGATGTGGTTTATTATTATAAGTTTCTGTAGGATCGTATATATTTTTGACATAAAAATCAGTTTCTTTGCATTGCATTGCTAGTTAGTGTCCTCTAGTTTCTACAAGTCGGCCCATCATGCCGCACTACTTTGACTTCCCTATTACAGAATACTTGTTAACAATTATCTGCTTCTATATAGTTAACCACCCCCTACCATGTAAAAAATACTTTGGCACCAAAGAGTGAGCCAAGAAATAAAAGAGAGGGGGTGCTGTAGTGAGAGGCCTCAAAACAAGGCAAAGAAAAAGCAACAAAGGAGCAACCCTGACTGGGGCTGCAAAACTATTATAGAGAAGCTATTAAAGGCAAAAACTCAAGGCGCTTGACATCACTGAATCTATATGAGGCACAGGCTCAGCCCTCTATGTTGAGCTTATGGCCAAGATTAAGGCTGGTCATATGATGTGCAGCTGTCTCATCATCATCAAATCTACTCTGCACTACAACCTTCCATTACGTGCTAGAGAAGCATCATATCACTGCCCGACCTCTCCGCGTACCTCTCTGCACTACCATATAGGTTGCCTTGTTCTAATGCATGTCTCCACATAACTCTCCGTGTCATCTCCCTGGGTGACGGGAGGGGCGACAGCCACCGCCTGAAGCGAGCCTGCCCTGGCTGTCCAGCTCTGGCTGCTGTCGCGCAGCCTTCTCCCCCCTTCTTCCTCCCACTCCTCTCCTAAACTTGTCCTCCCTGTTGTGTTCCCCGTCAAGTGGTCCTCGCTCTAGTCAGATCTATGCCTCTAGGGGCTAGATCCATGTGAGTGGGACCTAGATCTATGGAGGATGCAGGTGCTCGGCACGGCTTACCGGCTCCAGGCAAGCTCCGGCTATTAGCTATCGTGCTACCTTAGCGGTGGTGGCGGCGGTGCTGCTGGACATGGCATAGGCAGTGCTGGCTGTGCTGCTGACCACAGCGGCAGTGACGGCGCACTGGCGGTGGCAGCAGAGGACGCGCTACTGGTGGTGGTGATGGCAACAGGTGTCATGGTCACGACCGTGCTAGGGCGCATACGTCGTGCTTCGGTAGATTCTTGGCGAAAGTCTTGCCCTTTTTGTGGCCGGTGCCCACGACGATGGCGCGTGCTCATGCGTCTTACTCCTCAGAGGCATCATCGAATATCCATCTTCCTTTGTTGCACATGGTCTCTAGGTGAAAACCCAAGTCTGATTCCTCAGACAAGTCATGGTGGCATCTTTGTATGTCATTTCCTTCCGGGAGGCGTTGCTTTGGACACCCCCATTCCCTGTATGCACAAGCTGTCAGGGTCGTCCTAGTTGACCCCGTGCGGTCATTGCCGCCATCCCTGCTGCGTTGTCGGTCCTCAAGGGAGATTTGTACTGTACCTATGTGTGCGTTATATCCTTCTTCCCAATGGTCTATCTTGCTATTCTTGTTTGGGTCGTCCTTCCTAGCGGAAGCTTTGCCACCATCATTTGGCTTTCGTAGTGGATACTTGCCACTACCGTTGTCGGCGGATGCTAGGCTCCTGCAGGTCTCTTCTCTGGTGGATGATTTGCCGCCGTTGCCGTGTTCGCTTCTCTCTTGCAGATGCTTTTGCTGCCGAGGTTGCTTTAGACCCTTCTCTAGCAGATGCTTTACCGCCATTGCTGCTGGATGCTCATCTCGGCTTATCTGGGGTGGACGTTTTGTGCCACCATGGTCTTGCCTTCTATGTAGGCAACCATTGTGTCGATTTCCTTTGTTTTTACAGGCCCAGTTTGTTTGTTTCGGTGTTGAGGCTGGAGGTCCCCTCCCCTTGCCTTTTCTTCGTGTTATGGTTTGTTTCTAGTTGTCTACCATTGTCTTGGTGGTTTGTAGCCTGCCCTACAAGGGCTCTCTCGTGCTTGCGTCGTGTAATTTTATGTCTCTTAATGAAACACGTGCCAAGGCAGCGCCAGCATGTTCTAAAAAAAGAAGAAGCATCCAACAGTGATGATGGAACAATACCATGATCCTTGGTTGGACCCTCTAGAACCATGTGTATTATGTAGATCTAAAATAATTCAAATCGGAACGTTATATACTGGAGATAACTCTGACACTATCTTACTTTGTATACATAAACTTGCACATATATATTTATTGGCCTACATGCTTTCAATTGTAACATCATATGCAATTTATATATGTTTAAAAATGCTTGTATAGTTTCCTGGACATGCCAGAATTATTTTTCTTATATGTTCCCTGTTTGTGTAGTTTCTACTGTCATTTTATGTTGTTCTGACTGCGTGTGCCATTTTTTGCTTGCCTCATGAATCAGAAACTGTTGGTTCATTTTTCTGGATTTGGAGCAGAGGAAGCTGAATGGATCAATGCTCGTACATGTTTGCGGCAACGCTCAGTGCCATACAAGGCCACAGAATGTGCAAATGTTCATTGTAGGGACCCTGTTCTTTGTTATAAGGTATTGTAATATTAAACTCCCTTTTGCTGCTACCTTAATTAGTATACAACATCTACATTCAAACAAGAACTTTTGAGATGGACGGTAGTTAGGTTGCTCTATCTATCCCTAGAACTGTGCATTCAATAGTATATACTTGGTATGCCTATATCAAAAAGGGTTTTCATAGTTAGTGGATTCTTTTGTACACTATAATGTTTTAGATTATACTAGCTCCCACCATTAAAAAAAGTTAGTAGGTTAAAGTTTTGTACTTTATGCTAACTCACACTTATCTAATTAACTTTTATCTGAGATTGTAGAAAATAAATTAAAATATACAACACTGGATAATAGATGCACTATTAAGACATATTTCACAGTTGTTTTAATGAAACTAGTTTAACGGTTGCAGTTCTTCCAATTTTTCTATAGATTTGTTAAAAAATAACTATACATTAAAGGTTGATTATGGAAGATATCATGGGGTGGGGTGCCATTGGAGGAATATAGAAGAGTGAAGAAATGAGTGCGGTGGAAAAATGATAAGCTAGAGCGAGACTAGATATGAGTTAAGTTAATATTTCTTAATACTTGTGATTGAGGGCTGGATTTCATTCTTCATACAGTACCTGTACTAGAATTGAGTTCAGCAAAAGACTGAGAATTTATTTTCGTGGACTTCCTTTAATTTTAATGTCAGGAAGCTCTAAACAGTTTTTAAGATGAACATACAAACATATGAAACAAATAAACTAGAGTACTGAATATACACATAAGTTACACCTATATTAAAAAAAGGAACTTTTAGAAACTTACAGTCCATCATAACAAGTGCCCTTGTAGTACCTCGCAAGTCCACACTTGACTGCCACCGCTTGTGTCCCATTAGCGCGGAAGAACAGCAAGCTATCATCTGCAAACAGCAGGTGGGACACAACCGGTGTCCTTCTGCACACTTGTAATTAAGCCATGTATACGTTCTCCTGTAATCTACAGCTGCAACACTTTGGACAGACCATCAGCAATAAACAGGAATAAGTAAGGCAACAAAGGATCACCTTATTAGCGTAGCGCCGTCGTGTAGATTGGAAGGTGTCCAGCATGACACCATTGAAGCGCACCACAGAGCATACAGTGGTAACACATGCCATAACCAACTTACCCATTTCCAATGAAATCCCAGCTTCACAAGAACATTTTCCAAATAGCTCCAGTCCACATGATGATACGCTTTGGCCATATCTAGCATGTACACACAAAAGTTACTCCTATCTGAATTATCATCCTATATCGCATGAATACACTCAAAAGCAATCAACGCATTTTCAGTAATTAGACAGTTGGGAATAAGTGCACTTTGGTTCTTAGAAATTGAATTATCAAGTAAAGGCCGCAAATGATTTACCAAGCATTTAGAAACAACCTTATAAACGACAATGCAAAGGCTTATCAGCCTATAATCCCTTACCTTCTCCGAGAACTTTACTTTCGGTATGAGCTCTATAGCGGTATCATTCACACTCTTCTGCATGTGCCCATCAACAAAAAAGGTATGTACTACCTTACTTACATCTTCCCGGAGTGTGTCCCATTTTCTCTGGAAGAAGTGGATGGGGAAGCCATCCAGGTTCGGGGCCTTTCGCGGACCAATTTTAAATAGCGCGTCAGCGACTTCCTCCTTTGCATAAGGCTTACGTAACTCCTCGCTAATACAGCACTCAAACAACAATGTCAGCACTTGGGGTTCAACATTAGGGTTCTTCGTGTAAAGGTCATTAAAATAAGAATTTACAAGCCCTACCATCAATAGCGTATACTTGGTATGCCTATATCAAAAATGGTTTTCAAGGTGTGGATTCTTTTATACACTATAATGTCTTAGACTATACTCCCACCATTTAAAAAAGTTAATAGGTTCACGTTTTGTACTTTATGGTAAATCAAACTTACCTAATTAACTTTTATTTAAAATTATAGAAAATATATTGAAAAATACAACACTAGATAATAGATGCACTATTAAGACATATTTCATGGTGGTTTTAATGAAACTAGTTTAGCGCTGTAGTTGTAGTTGTTCGCATTTTTCTGTAGAGTTGTTAAAAAATAACTATAGATTAAAGGTTGATTAATGAAGATATTTCATGGGGTGGGGGTGCCATTGGAGGAATAGAAGAGTGAAGAAATGAGATACAGTGGGAAAATGAGAAGCTAGAGCGAGACTAGATATGAGTTGAGTAAATATTTTTTAATACTTGTGACTGTGGGTTGGGTTTCATTCTTCATACAGTACCTGTACTAGAATTGAGTTCCGTAAAAGGATAAGAATTTATTTCATGGACTTCCTTTAATTTTAATGTCAGCAAGCTCTAATAGTTTCTAAAATGAACATACAAACTTATGAGCTAGAGTATTGAATATACACATAAGTCACAACTATATCGAAAAAGGAACTTTTAGAAAATTACAGTCCGTCATAACGTGCTTGAATAAGGGACTTTTCTTTCCGATTGCTTATGTTTGTGTAACATTGTAAAAGAATCAACAACATAGACGTAATTTATTTGTCTTCATATTTTCTTGTTCCGTAATTCTATCTCTTACCATGGCAGTGTTGTCTCTCATGAATATATATACTTCTGTTCTAAACTGTTCAGGAAAGTGAACAGAGTGGTCTCTATTTTGACGCTGAAGTGCATGCTATTGAAAGGAAAACGCATCATTCAGGAGAAGAATGTGATTGTAAAATCCTTGTTCTTTATGTGCATGATAATTCTGAGGTACTTTACATCTAATATTGTCCATTCACTAACTACAATTCTGTTATTGTACTAATTTCTATGTTTTATCTTGTTTTCTTATGCCCATGATTATTCTTATAACTCTTCATTATATAATAATGTCTATGCATTGAAAATTTATAATTGTAGTAGATGCACCTGCGGACATGCTTTATATCAGTTTTTTCAATGGACAGACTCCGCATATTGTTGCTCCTTTTTATTTTCTTTAAAATTTAGATGCCCTATAACTATTGACCCATTGAGGAACAACCATATGCTTGAGTAAACTGCACTATATGTCCTTAAGTTGCAGCTGTTTCATTTGGCAATATGAATTTAAATTCTTCAACTTGAAAAAAATATATTTTGCTCATTAATCTCAACATGTTGAAGGAGCACATCCGAATTAGGTTAGCTACATTGAATCTTAATGCTTTAAGTGAACTACAATTTAATATATTGTATTGTTAATTCCATAAAGTATGCACTTTGTACATTTAGTGAATCGTAAGCTAGACTGCAACCTTAAGCTTTTATATTGTTCTTTGCTTGATACTAGATTTTCATTTAATTTTGTAGGATATTGTTTCACTGAGGAAGTTGTGCCGTCGATATGTAGGAGATGACTACAAACCTCAAACTTCATATGAGCAACTAAAAGGAAAGTAATAGCTTAGTAGCTCAAGAAAAAAATTTAGCATCAATTTGATGGGACATGTTTAATATCATACCTTTTTAGAACAATGTATGTTTTCTTATTACAATGTATCTTGGCGGCTCATGAGTATTGCTACAGAATGGAAACTATTATTAATTGTGTAAAGACGTAAGACTTTAGGACAAGGAAATACTTGTGTTTGTGAAGTTGATCAGAGTCACACTACCAGAGAAATGGCCTTTCGTAGGGGTACAAATTGTATCACTACTATGGAAACAATTTTTGGGGGCTGTCAAAAATAGTTATGAGAGGTGGTTTCAAAACCTCTACTACACCATCGATTGTAAAGGTCTGGTATTTATTAGTATTAGTGCCATAAATGCACATGGTAGTCCTTCATCAGTCACTCCTCGTGTAGTGAATAAGGCTGTTTTGCTTGGCAAGTGATGATGTGTACAAGGGCTATACTCAAACAATCACTACCGGACTGCTTGAATTTGCCGAGTGTCCGAAACACTCGGCAAACCACCTAAAACACTTGGCAAATGGTTCGCCGAGTGTAACACTCGGCGAACAGCACTCGCCAAAAAAAGTGACGGCAAAGCCAACTTTGCCGAGTGTTTTTTATCGGGCACTCGACAAAGCCTTTGCCGAGTGCTCGACACTCGGCAAAGTTGAAACCGAAAAAAACCCGAAAAAAATGGGAATTTTTACCCAAAAAAAATGGAATTTTTTTTTATCGATGGAGGCCCCCACCGGCCAGCGCCCACCCATCTACAACATTTTTCGCGTGAATTTCATGGCTACGCGACCGACACGATTCGAACCCGAGACCTCTCGCTGTGCACGTACCTCCTCTACCACTACACCACACTCTCACTTGTGTCTGGATTCCGTTTTAGTTCCCAATATATTATATTAAACCGAGTGTAAATTGCATGTTTGAGGCCCTAAATGAATTCAAATAAAAAAGTTGTAAACTACAAAGTTTCATAACTTTTCGAGATCTACACTTTTAGTTTAGGAAGTTTTTCCATCCGAGGTCGTTTACAAAATTTGAATTTTAAAATTTTGAAATTCAAACACAGTTTTGCATGACAAGATGTTTTCAAATCAAAAAGTTGTAAACTACAAAGTTTCATAACTTTTCGAGATCTACACTTTTAGTTTAGGAAGTTTTTCCATCCGAGGTCGTTTACAAAATTTGAATTTTAAAATTTTGAAATTCAAACATAGTTTTGCATGACAAGATGTTTTCAAATCAAAAAGTTGTCAACTACAATGTTTCATAACTTTTTGAGATCTACAGAGTTTATTTTAGTTGTTTTTTCATCCGAGGTCGTTTGAAAAGTTCAAATTTTAAAATTTTGAAATTCAAACGCAGTTTTGCATGACAAGATGTTTCAAATCAAAAAGTTGTCAATTACAAAGTTTCATAACTTTTCGAGATCTACAAAGTTTATTTTGGTTGTTTTGTCATCTGTTCATCCGACATGGTCGTTCTAACATTATTCAGAAATCTTATATATCTCTCTTGTAGTTTCATAAACTACAAGAGAGATGTTAGATTTATGAACAAATTTATTTTTACTTTGTCGTATGAAGAAAAGACCAAAACAAACATTGTACATCTTGATGAGTTATACAACTTTGTAGTTGAAAACTTTTTCATTTGAATTAATTTTCTGCTTCAAAATGTGCTTTGAAATTTTCTTTGCCGAGTGTCAAAAAAAACACTCGGCAAAAGCGTATTTGCCGAGTGCCCGAAAAAGAACACTCGGCAAACCACCTGACACTCAGCAACTGGCCGGTCTCCAGTAGTGAATGCAATAAAAAACTAGATGTTTGTACCTTTTTGCAAGTGAAAATCCCACATATGTCGTAAGAGTGAGGACATCAATGCACTGGACATCATAAATGAGAAACACCAACCACAATTTTTACATTGTAGTTTCAATAAGATAAAACTATGCACAGCAAATGAGTTCACAAGGCAAATAAGTAGTTAACAATATAAAGCATGGTAACACAACCACCACCACCAACCAATATCCAGCCATGAATGTGATGGTCAAATCAAATGTGGTGTGCATAATGTCCATGTAATTGGTTTAGGATGCGTAATACTTTGTTTGATTGTTTACATAAGCTGGCCATGTAATGGACTGTATGGGCCTAAACTCGAAAGGCGTCAAGTAATCTTTACACGACATGTACATGAGCTACACGACCATTTACAGCAACACCTGGTCTTTATAGAGGCAAGCTTACAGACGCCCCTATAAATGTATTTTCAGGAGTGGCTAGCATAAGTCAACCAACCATGGAAATAATTTTGCGGGTGTGGTTAGCTTAACACAACTAACTCTATAAATGAATTCCTAGAGGACGGCTTGATTAAATGAACCTCTCTTGGAAACACTTCTAAATTTTCTTAGTTTCTAACCATGTTTGGATTTTTCATTCTCTGGGAATTTTTTACATATATATTTACCACCAAATTTTACATTATTGTGATCACTATTTTACCATTTTAAAGTCACTATGCACAATGGGTCATAAATATTCTACATGCATGAAAAATAGAAGTTTTAAATGTTTCATTTTTAGTCATTTTATAGCATGCTTTAATACAGAAACAAGATAATACATACATGACATAAACGATCGTGAGCAATCCATTCATTGCATATGCAAATCTGCTACCGAACAAGGTAATAGCAGATCCTATCCATAGACCCACAACACATACAACTAAATGTGCCAGAGATAAGTTTAGAATGTACCATTGAATGGAATCTAAGTTGTAACGCCCTAGAGTCCAAGCAGCTTAGATCCACTCTGCACGCTGAGTGAACCACACCTACCACCAACCCACTTACGCTTTCGTGTCCTCGCTTCGTGTAAAAGGGTTAACTCATGGATGGTGGGATGAACTCTAGAAGCCTTATATGTTGGTCTAACTTACCCTCAAAAACCAGGGTGGGACGCTAAACCCTCCACACTATCTCATTAACATGCACATGAGCCACTATGGGCTAAATTTTAAACTGGGCCAAATGTCACATAGAACCCCCCCTCAAAGAATATGACGTCCTCGTCGAACCAACACACCCACAACTAGGCAAACGGTGACCAGGAACGTTCCCCCTTAGCACACGCGATCGTACGTCCAGTGCTGGCACATGTGCTATGCACCCTACAAGGCCTACACACGCAATGAGCCTCATGTCCACACCCGTGACCCGCACGCGCTCGTGGCCGCGGAGGTCGGATCTGATACCATTTGTAACGCCCCCAGAGTCCAAATGGCTCAGATCCACTCTGTACGCCGAGTGAACCACACCAACCACCAACCCGTTTCCGCTTTCGTCCTCGCTTCGTATAAAAGGGTTAACGCGGGGATTGTGGGATGAACTCTAGAAGCCTTATATGTTGATCTAACCCACCCTAAGCAACTAAGGTGGGACTAAACCCTCCACAATATCTCATTAACATGCACATGGGTCATTATGGGCCAAATTTCAAACTGTACCGGATGTTACATGTGCTGCTGTGGATCTGCCTGTTGTGAAGTAGTACGAAAGCAAGTGTTGCTTCTAGACTGCTTGTAACACCCCAGGTGTTTGGCTTCCACATTTGCCCTTGCATTTTATAAACATGAGCATCATTCATCCATTCATGAGCTTATATTGCATGAAACATGCTTGTGAAACATTGCAACATATTGTCATATTCATGTGTGTTTGTTTTATGAAATGAATAGTGTGCAACACTCAAGTGCAACATATGCAACACACTTTAGTGAAATATGGTTAGTTAATACTATGCAACAAGATCATGAAACATGTGAAACATGACTATGAAACAATTGTAACATTTCATGTGTTTTTCATTGTTTCAGTACATACTTTGCTTGATTCTTGTGTGACCAATGTATGGTGTGGCTAAAAATTATTTTAAGTAACTTAGTTACACCTAGAATGTCATTTGGAACATTGTTCATGTTGGTCACTTTGACTAATTAAGTTCCCAAGTCATGGCTTGACCAATTTTGACCCCTAAACCCTTTTGTTTGACTGTTTAAAAAGTGTATCTTAGGATGTTTGCATGTCTAAGCAACCTAAAACAAAGTTGTAGCAAATTTTATAAGGAACAAACTTTGTTTAGAAGCCAAGTCATGAAAATGTTCACAACATGTTAAAAAGGACCCACAAGTCAGCTTTGAAGGTGGATTCAACACTTGAAAAATTTGGTAAGTCTTAAATGTCATTTCAGTTTGATCGAGCCCACTTTGGCTTAATGTAACTCCTGATTCGTGGGGAATTAGACTTTGGTTCTTGAATAGAAGTTGAAGATGGTATGTAGGGCTACAACTTTCATGTATATTGTTTTCACTGATTCTTCACGGTTTAGGATATCAAGAACTGTCAAGTGACGCTATCACGCTCGACCGGTAACTCTGAATCGATGGTACAGTAGTCCGACCGGTTACAGAAGTTCATCGCCGCATGGCGCCGCGCGTCGCCGTCGGGCCGCTCGGCCAGGCCACGTCAGGCTCCAGTGCGCCACAACATGCCCGCAATCGCCCGTGACGCTCCTGGACTCTCCATTCCTCGCTTCGCCTTCTCCTTCGCTCACCACAGCAGCCGAAGCGCAGCAACGCCCCGCCATTGCTGCTGAGCAAGCTCCGCCGTCGCCTAGCTCGCTTGCCCCTGCAAAAACGCGTTGGCCAGCTCATCCGTAGCTCCGCCGTGTTCTCCTCTACCTTCTCCACCCCTTAGCCGAGCTGTTTGAGCGTTGGTAAGGGCGCATTCGCCATTCCAGTCACCGCCGCCATGAGCATGCCCTCGCCAGAATTGAGGCCGCCGTGGTCGGGGTAGCTAGGAACCCTCCCCGCCTCTTCTCTTTGCTGGGATAGCACCGTGGCGACCTCCTGTAGCTCATGCCGTGCTCGATTGAGCCAGCCGTGGCTTGCTGTCGCCGGCAGCTCGCGCCGGAGCTTTGCCGT